GGCATCCGGCGAAGGGGAGAGCTGTTGATAAAAGTCAACAATAGCCTATTGGAAATGCTTTCCGTGATGCGCAGTGCAAGTTTCTGACCAGTATAGAAGAAGTGATCGACATAATATTTGTGTTAAAAATTCGAATCTTTTTCTTAATAGTGGCTGGGTGACAGCAGAAGATTTCCAAAGTGGTTTCAGGTTGATGAAGACATATCTTGCCTTTTCGATCCTGGCTACCTCTGATATCTTCATCCATTCCGACTGCCACTTGTTGAAACCATACTTCCTAGCAGGATAAGTGAAGGAAGTGACCTTTGTAAAATTTCCCCCGTTGATGGTGATTGGTGTTCGTTGTTGCAGTTGCTGTTGGTTGTGGTTGGTTATCTTCATTACCTCCATCTTCTCTATGTTTACCTGGAGTCCTACATTCGCCCTCTAGCTCCTCAGCTAGTTTGTTGATTTTCGCCTGCCTGCAAGTCTTCAAGTGTGTGTGTGACATTAAACATAAATCATCTGCGGATTCATACAAATACACATACAAATCCTGCTGAAGTATATTCACCATAATTAAATAGTCAACTAATGAAGCTAAGGAAATTCTGTTAAAGGAATGAAGATAGTGAGAGGTAGAAATGTTGTTATCTATTTAGGATGAATGAACTGTACTAACACAAACAATAATACTTAGTTTAACTATACCTATGTTTTTATATTATAACAACACTTAAGAGACTCTCTAGAGTTTAGTTTAGTTTGAAATAATGGAGAGTTGTTTTTCAACTTTTTCAGTTATTTACTGCAAATTTTTTTCCAGATTAAATTGAAACGATAATAGAAAGAAGAGAAGCTAAATATCTCCAAAAAGAGACTGATAATATGTAATATCTTTCATAATTAAGTTTCGAGTTTGTTCATTCACTCGATAATAAGTACTAGAATCGAGTTAATATTCATGTGGAAATATAATTTTGAAGTACATGGGAAAATAAAATTATTCATGACATGTGATATCTATTAAAAGGGGACAACTATTGAATTGTCTCTGTCGTACACTCATTAGAGTTGAGGATTATTTTGCAAAGATTGACTTAAATGAGAGTAACTTTCAGCCTCAATAAACAGTAAACACAGAATTACTGAAAATAAAATATTTTTTTCCTCACTGTTCTACATTCAGTGTGGAACAAAATGCGTCAAGATTTCGAAGTTTCAGTGCTTTTGAGAGGTGGTTAAAAGCCAAACTTTCCTTCTTTTCTTGACTCGCAATCAGTTATTAGAATAGACGAGGTTCAAGAGTGAGTTGGCTTCGAATATAACTGGGATCGCGTGTATGGTTAGCCAATACTGAAAACAAACTGGGACCCAACAATTATTTCATCGTACTTTGTCCTTCACTGTTTCATTATGAGAAATAAGAGTGCTATCATTTTATTGACAAGGTTATTTAGTATTCAGCTATCTACAACTATGACTTCATCATAATAGAATCGACTTTATATGACGTCGATACTTGGCAACACAGTTAGATTCTCCTCAGTCTTCAGTGATGCGCTAATCATATTTTGTCAGTAAATAAATGTCTTTTGAATATATGACATTTCAAAATAGACAAGAAGACCATCAAAAGTGTTTGAATACCGTCTGAGGACTAGTAAACAAAATCTAGAAGTTTAGTGCTTTAGATGTTCTACATCTGTGCTTTGCAGCACTTCATTGTGTATATTTGTTATGTGCCATTTTTATTGACAGGTTGAATGGAGATAAATGAAGGATTCCCCGTGTCATCTTATGAGATCGTTATGTGGCGTGTGCTACTGATAAGATTTATCAGTAGTATATATATAGAGATGTTCTTCGGCATAAAAACATCACAAAACGGGGAGAAACATTTAGTGTCAGAGAACGTAAACGATACAGCATGGCGGAGATACATGGGGGACATGAAAGGATCACAAAGAAAAACAATATGAAGCAAGGCAAGAAGTAGCCCAACGCGGAAGATCTGTGCATATTGTCCGTTGAAGATAAGGTGTGCAAAATTTGGCAATGCAGAGATACCAAATCGCAAATAAACATTCCTCACCAAGTCTTTCGTCTTCTTAAGTCACAGTTACACTGTTGCTAATGTCCTCTACACATTGACAAGAAGTAGCCGCAAGTTATTTCAACAAATATAATGTTACATGCAAAAAGAATGAATAATTCTCACACTTCTGAATTTGAATAAACCGTACCAGTCAATTTTAATATCTATTGGTTGATTTATCGCGGAATTTTAACTTCTGGGCCAAAAGTGACTTCAAAACTGCATTACTAGAATAAGTGAAAAAATATTTGCAGGTTTGACGGATAGTTATTCGATACTAGCAGTACTCACTACACATATCTCTGATCATCATTTGCAAAATTTCGGTACATGTAATTACAAACTGTTAGGACAGTGGGCCAGCTTATTTACACTATCAAAGTCTTGTTGAATGTACCACGCTATATTTATGAATGTACATTTTTACTATCCTAATTGTCACAAATTATGAATGTAATCCACTGTAATGTAGATAACCTTATTTGTAGCCACCGCTCATGAGTTTTACCGGTTAGTAGTCGTTAATAACACATCCTGATTTTCTTCGGATACATTTATGCGCAGTGGATTCGGTAAAACCGTATGATGTTGGCAACAGTGGCTAGTCTTTCTTCATATTTATGGAAGAATAAATCTTCGAATTCTCCCGCATTTCACTTCTATAGATATGGAACCTAATTCTAAATGAAGATGATTTATTCTGAAACTGATTCATTTTCTCTCTTTATAACTGAAAAGAGATATTTTCAAGTCATTAATGAAGGTTAAATAATTATCTACACTTTAGTATTACTCAGGTGAACTGATTTAAAGTATAATGATTAATAAGTCCTCATGCATAATTTATACTTTGTAATTAAATGAAAACCATGTATCTTATAAAGCATTATGATCAACCTTGGCTCAGTAAATTTTAGCTATACTATCTAATAACAGTAGAAGTACTAAGGTGTTCAGTTAAGTCATGGAAAGATGGCTAGTTAAGTGTGTGCGTCGGTGGCACAGTGGTTAGGACCCTCGCCGACCATGCACATGGTCCGGGGTTCGATCCCCTGCCGACGCACACCCGATATCTATGGTCGGCCTGCAAAATTTGGGCTACCGATATCCATGCTGAAAATTCCATACTTGTACTGAAAATACGGTGTGGCATCAAGCTGTAATCAAAAATAAAAATAAATGAAAATTTTAGGGTGGCCAATAAATATTACTAAAGAGTTTATATAGACTTTGTAAACACTAATCACAGCATAAACATGGGTAAATATCGATAGCGGGTTTTCTTACGACCAAAACAGACTTGTTGTGGTCTGAACTCAGGAAGTCCACCTCGATGTCCTACTGTACAGCTGAGCAAAACTTCTTTGAGAAACGCACAGTCACAAAACGCTCCAAAGACAGCAAAAAGACGATTGTTTGTGTTTGGAGTCTACCCTAAGAAGTACCTTAGTGTCAAGTAGAATATACCTAACAAGATGAGATCAAAATTCTGTCCACAAGAACTATTCACCAACACTTACCGCAGATAGTTCAAATTCAGAATAACCTTAGCTCACTTCTAACAAAATCACACCGTAAAACAACACATTATCAGTGTATCGAACAACCCCAAAGAGCATCATTATGATTAGAGATTAAACAAGAACAACGACAAACAATAAGGATTAAGTTAATAAGTGATATGCAATTGTCAGAGCAGTGGTATACATTATAGGAGATTATAAAGTTTTCAAGAATTAGTTTGTAGGGATCGCATTTGTTTTAGGTTAGACCACGGATTGATATCAGTTAGTGAACTGTTGAAAACTAGAAAGTACTGGACAGCTGTTTCGTCAACCTGGTTTAGGACTAATCCGCGGTACGCATCCACTGGGTTTGAAACCCAGGACCTTCCGGTTCCTAGGCAAGCTCGTATACCATTTAGCCTTGTGAGACCCGATTCAATGGCCCATGACTTCCAACTAAAGTTATTTGAAACATTCAGATAGCTATAAATATTGTAATTATGTCATTCAGGAGGGATTTTTCAAACTGATATTCTATTACAGATTTTTCAGATTCATTATTAAATCAAGCATAATGAGTATCTCATGTATGTTAATACCTGTTTTTCGATAAATATGAGATTTTTTCTCAGGCGTTGTGTTGATTAGTTTCCTGTACAGTATTAATTGAGAATTGCTTATGAATAAAGAATAAATACACCCTCGAATGCATATAACAACGAACCGAAGCAAATCTATAAGCGAAGAAAGCAGAGTACTGAAATACTTGAATGAATTTGTGGTTTATATATATATATATGTATATTACTAAGAAACCAAGTGTTCATGTTATATCAGTATGTTTGCAGTTCTAAGTTTTGTTTCATTCCTTATAGAAATATCTCAGGTTGGTGTATAGAGGCATTTTGTACAAGTATATATATATATATATATATATGTATTTCCCAAAAGACAGACTACTGTAATTACCTAGCCAGCTAGCAAGCTACTTTAGTATATTACTGGACAATGGCTGAATAATTTATGAGAAATTGGAAAATTTGTACTATCCTTGTTCTTACCCTCTCTCTCTCCCTCCCTCCCTTTCTTCACTATTCTACCTAAGAAGTAATCGTAGTATTTATTATTTCTGTTTATTTGAAAATCGTCTGAGTGACCTGCTTCAATAATATTACTTGGTTTAACAGTCATCTATATTAATGAACTCATAGATGAGCTATATATATATATATAAATGCATGGACTCAGGTATACAGAAATATTAATGTGCATTTATGTATATATATATATATATATATATATATATATACAAATTTAAGTTTGTATGTGTGTTTATGAATGTGCGCAAGTTCTGTGCGTAGAAAACTATACCTTGTTATTCAGTTATTCAGTTTCTATTGGTTTTTCATATACACATGGTTCTGTCTCGATAATGACCAATGTGGAGACATAATACTATTAAACAGAATAAATGTATACCTATAACTATACAATGAAATTATAATTGAATAAATAATTAAATAAATATGTTGAATTCTTCTCAGTGATGAATAATTATTGAACAAATGGACCTTCTGTAATTTTTGCATTCTTTTTTATGAAAATAAAAAAATTAAACATTTTAAAATGTTTCATATTTATGATGATAACGATGATGATTGTTTGATATGAAGTAATACGAAAACTTACTTGAAAGATTATCTCATGACATGGAATTAAATTTATAAATGAGATTTCTACAATGTTCCTTTGGTCTGTTGGAATAAAGTAAGTTGAAATCTATGCTTTGCTGTGATTTATTAACATTTCTTTATTCTTAATCTGAGATGGACTGATAATCCATCGGAGTATACTCCGCTTGGGTTCGTATTCCACCCCATATGGATTTGCGTTGGTGGTACAGTTGTAGAATATGCACCTGCCTAGCACGTAGTTGGAGGTTCGATCCTAGGCCGACGCAATCTTAAACCTTGTCTAGCCGATAAGAAGTCCGGTAACGACGGAGGGTTTGGTGTGAGGCTAGCAACCCAATCCGGCAAAACATTTAAACACCGCTGCTAATGAAACTTCAAAGATCAAGCATGAAGTCCTATAGTCCACTTGAAACACTAAGGAATAATATTTTAAAAAATCTTATATGTTTAATGGCACTGTTTGCAGATGGAATTTCAATTGGGTAAAATCAAGGTATCTTGGAAACACTTCTTTTTTAGACCACTGAATGTGATCTCACTCATGGGATTGTTGAAGGGAAGTATAAAAGAACATGATTTCAGAACAAGACAGAAATTAATCAGAAGTTCTGATAGTTGGTTCATCGAAAATTTCTTTTCCTAATATATCTACCTGAGTGTGTTTTATTTGCAGATACTGTTTCAAAGAAAATTAACTGAGATCTCTGTTAATCCATAACAGTATTTAATGTTTGGAATTTAGACAGACATTAATTAAGCCATTTTCAAATAATAGGATTCAACGTACAGTCAGAAGAAAGCTTCCGTGAATAAATCTTGATTTTATTAGATAGTTGGAGGTAATCGGCAGGAAGCCTTGGACCTAGGTTTCGTGCTAGTTGGCACTCGTCAGCAAGGCGTATCTGCGACCTTGAAGGAACTCATCTCCCTCCTGAGATTCGAACTCGCGTCACCCAGTGCTGCAGTCAGAGACGTTACCACTGAGCTATTCGTGCTCGCGACTGACCTCACGTAGGACACTAGTTACTAGTATCCAATCACAAAATCTTGATTTATTTAAACTCATAGCTTAGAATTTTAAATAATAGAAAATCTCAATAATATATTTTCAGTGGCTTGGCGGAACTTATTCAAATCAAAATAAGTTTGTTATGATTAATTATTACAGGCTTCTGTATCTGCTACTCTAGTGATGGTAGACACAGAGGGACGTTCTGGTACTACTGGTAATTATGTAGTCTGGATAGTGCTTTGATCCCTATCCCATGCTGCGATTTCCCAAATTTATTTTCAGTAGTTAGTTATACCGACTTCTATCTTAGTGAATGGGATCACAACAAAGATGTTTTAATGGTCCAAAATCTTTAGTGATGTTATCATTTAAAACAATAATTCATATAAGTTCACTAACAAATATTTACAATCGTTGGAATATTCAATCATTCCACCTTGTTCTTATGAGGATATCTTTATGTCTGGTGGAATACAGAAATACTCTGACAACACACCAGTGTACTCAGACTAACTTGTGAAGACACTTTGATTAGCTCTGAAATTTCGTTTACACCTCAAATGGTGTGTACTGATGATGAGTCACAGACTTAGATGAAACAGGTGTTTTCAATTGTTCTCTTACTGATATCAGTCCACAGTCTAAATCACCTAATATTTCCCATTATCTATCCAAATTTCCGATAATTTATTATTTACATCCTACAGACAACTGTGAACAAATCAACAAAAATGTTTATTTTTGAACATTTATCCAAGTGTAAACATAAATTCAATGCAGCTTTCAGTGATTTTTTTGGGATATTGATGTTAAGTATGTCAGAAGGAATTTCGGAAGCACTTCTAAACCTCATAGAGGCGTTAGTAAGCTGGAAAGAAGAAGCGTTAGGCATGAAGCTCGCAATTTCATCTCGGAAATCACACCAACAACAAAAACATAACTAAGTGCTAAATTAGATTTAAATTTCAGTGAACTAATTTCTCTGTTGAAAAAAGCTTTTGCTAATAACAATAAAATGGTGCAAATGTAACAATTTTATTGCATTTGTTAATTTCTGAAGAAAAAGAAATTTTCACTTAGCTTTCGTATTGAACGTAAAGTAAAAACTGGCTGTAAAATATAATGTCCGGACAGACACATAAAAAGTACTCAGCCAGGTTAACATAAGCTTATCTTTCCTGAGCTCTAAAGTTTCAGAAGCAACTGGTTTCTTTTTTCACCACATGAGATACAGTTGTTAGCCCTATTCTCAGTTCCTTGTCTTTTCTGCTCTTAAGACTGCCTAATAAACTAGGCAAATGTAGTAATAAGATTGTGCCGCTGAAACTTTAAGTTATCTAAAATAAAAGATTAAAACAAATTCAAACACTGTATTGAATACAAACATCTAATGATACAGCAAAAACATCTGACATAGCACCATTCCAAAGTCTTTCTTGTAATTAAGTGAACAGATGTTGTCTGTTACTGTACACCGTTTCTTAAACATTTTGATTGACATTGATAAATTATAAGTACAAAAATAACCAACTGGGAAAATAGGCCTTTTTATCAAAGCCCACAAATTATTTAGATGAAGAATATCTTTTTTATGATTCCGGAAGATACTGTGTAGTGGTTCTATCATCTGTAGAGTTTTGTGTTAATCAAGAGATTAGACTTCGAAAACTTTCTTCACTGCCGTTATATATATATATATATAAATGTATAATGATCCGCTTTATTCCAAAAACAGTACTCATTATACAGCATGGAATTGTCAGCGTTTGTCACAACACTGCATCGAATTTACTCAAAATACAAATAAAATTAACCACTGGAATTTGTCCACATTTACGGTAGGAATAAAGTCAAAAATGTGTAAAGTACAAAATGAGAATAATAACTAAATAATAACAATGGATTTGTTTCAGACTTTTGTCGATTCATTTTGTAAATTTTAGCATGTTATAGGGGTATTGAATCTAATGTTTTCTTGACATAGTATGGTGAAGGGAAAAACAAAAAATAACAATTATTGCAGGGCTAAATTTGTGTTTACACTTATAAGAAAATAAACAACAAAAGGGTGAGAGTTTGTAAGCATAAGAAGAATAATAACAGTATAGCTTGCTGGAATAAGGATGGAGAAAACCGTTAATTTGCTAGTGCAAAAGCGGTTAGTTAGTGCGTGTCTGACACTATTTTCATCTCATAAAATACGTGCCAGATGTGGTATCGTGGAATTTTTATACTCAGACGTGTGCGCATGAAGTCTTTTGAAATGATGTCTTTTTTCACCTGAGGAGACCCAAAGTGAAAGCTGTGGGTAAAGTGGATGTCAACAGTCTGACAAAATCCCTTTAGCAAATTCGTTGCATGAAATCAAGTGTCTGTTAATGCTGATATCAGCGATGGGATACCACTTGCCATACTGAAAGTCTTCAGAGTCCTACGAAGTATAACACAGTCTTTTTTAAGCAGCCCAGGAAAGAATATGGATGAGCAGTATATATAGCATAAGAAAGTGGAATGTGATGTAAAGCGTTAAAGTAACGCTTTCAGATAAGTTAGAGAAGATAAGCTCATCACAATAAACTCCCTGCTCATACAAATTTGCCTAATACTATCGGACTCTTATTGTCTCTCAAAGAAATTTGAAATCTTCTGACAGTAAAAACAATCGAAACGATTGATTTGATCGATTAAACGTTTAGGTCCTATTTTATGTCCATCTTAAGTAGAGGGGAAAAAAATCTCAAGTGTACTCGTAAGGTTGATTGTAAAAGTATGATGAGAGAGAGGGTTTTTTTCAAACAAATATATATTTCCGATAAAAAGTAGTGTACGCCAAACGCATTAAGTATTCATAGGTTTGAATACAGTTGTTTAGGTTGAATGGTACACGTTAATTAAAAGTGAAAGAAGACAGAAAATCATATAATTCGGTAGTGTACTGAAATTAGAATTAATCAAGAAATAAGTGTGAGAAGATTTGCAAGGTACTCAAATAAAAATCCTGTAGAAGTAATGCAAATTTGTATCTTGCTAATAAAGTATAAATATACAGGGATATAGAGTGTATTCTCATCATCAGATGTACCGAAATTATATGATGATCACTCGGGAAAATACAAATCCAGTGGAAAGCAGAATGAAAGAACGAAAGTATCAAGATTACGGGATAATTAAAAATGTATGCATATGCGCAATATTTATTATTATAATATTGTTCCCTTTAATTCCTAGAGGAACATAGGGCTTCAGCCGTGCGTCTTCATTGCATTCGGTCCTCTGCTAGAGTCTTCACTTGGCTCCAAGTCTGCCCACACGTTTTCATCTCCTTTTCACATGACCTCCCCCAAGTCACCCTTGGAGCATATGCGCAATGATCAGAATGAAGTTTTGTAGTTTATATGAACATTTATTGTGTGATTTTATCTTCTGTAAGACATCTTTTAGTAACTCTCAATATTATAAAAGGTGGAAAAACGTTTCTTCTATGTTGATCTTCTGAATGTCAAGTATCTCTATGCTGTCTTTGTAAATTAGTGGTAATTCTTTGTTTGAAGGTGTTTTTTGATGATACTGTTTACAAGAAATACAACAAATTGTTTAATTAAATGTACAGTCTTAAAATGTCACTTTTGATGTTTGAAACTGATAGACGTTGCGACTGATTTATTAGATGGATGCAGAAAATCGACTGGAAGCCTTGGGCAAGAGTTTCGTGCTCGCTATCACTTATCAGTCAGTAAAGTTCCTCTGCATTTTGGAAGGAGTTCATGTCCCTTCTGAGATTTGAACTCCGGCCACCTAGCGCTACTGAAGGTTTCTTGCTGATTGTCTTCAATCATCTTGTAACAATTCAGAGTGCATCGTGATGCTTGGCCACATAGCACGGTGGCTAAATTGCTGACTTCACTGATAGAATTCAGTATGCACCAAATGAAGGATTTAAGCGTATGACATTAGTCGTTACCTAGTGTCCCAGCAAAGTGATTAAGATCTATTGAAAATCTGAAAATGTATTTTTAATATTGTTAGAAATAGAATGATGTCTTCCCAGTTGCATCTACAAT